ACACATGATATCACAATATGATGTAATTTCATTGACTAACAATATAGCAATTCAACAAATTCTAAGAATTTATTTTGTTAAAAACCTTTTTCGCCAAAGTTTATTAGGATCATCTATATACTTCAACCCAGCTGACCTTAATAAGCTCATCTCAACTTTCTGAAATAGTCAAGAAAGTCCGCTTCCCGAAGTCTCGATATCCTTGAATATTAGCTTCGTATCTTTTACTCTTTAGGGGTTCTTATAATAGTGCTCACGGATAGGGGAACATGAAACGGCAGATAAAATTATATGGAAATATGTATGATTATACTAACTTAGGTCCCTATTTTCCAGAGGATTTTTGAGGGATTTCATAGCCTCAAAGTACAGTGAGAATCACTCTATTTCACAGATTAATCTAAGAATAATAATTATATCCCAGGTTAATCACATTAAAAATAAAGCTTTCTGGGCTGATGAGATGTCAGTATGCAACTCATTCTACAGAAAGAGAGACTGTTAACATCTTCACCAAAGGCCAAGACATACCCGCAAAAATGTGTACCACACAGGTGAGATAAAGCTTTCTTCTTTCAAAAATGCTTTTTTAAACTTTTCAAAACTTTTTATTACTTTTATTTTATGTGTGTGTACTGCCCACATGTAGGTAAGTGCACCCTTGTCGTCCAATGCCCGAGGAGGTCATCAGAAGAGGGCACCAGATCCCCTGGAACGAGATATGGACTGCTGTGAGCCACCATGTGGATTCTGGGAACTGAACCCAGGTCCTCTGGAAGAGTAGCCAGTGCTCTTAACGACTGAGCCATCTTTCCAGTCCCCTAAAATGCTTTTTGTAATAATTACAAGTTGTATTTATTGTTCATCTGTTTTACTAGCTACAAAAGACAAAATGCCCACAGTAATTATCTTAGCAAAGTCCTAGCTTTCAGTATTTCAAAATAAAACCCATTTCAGTATAATGGAAGTAGCTTTACCCATCTGAAAGAGAACAGGTAGTCCTTCTAGTCTGTAAATCCAAAATGCATTTCCCCTCAAATTTCAAAAACACTGGCAAGACTTTAGTATACCATTCCAAAATCAAAACTGCCATGATTTTTAAAGGTTTAAGTAATAAAAATCGATGCTTCACAGCCAAGCATGATAGCCCATGCCTTTAGTCCCAGCACTCCAGAGGCAGAGGCAGGAGGACCTCTGTGAGTTCAAGACCAGCCTGGTCTACATAGTGAGTTTCAGGCCAGCTGGGGCTACAGGGAGACCCTGTCTCAAAAAGACCAAAAAAAAAAAAAACATGCTTCCCACAGAAAGAAAAAGGTTAAAGTCCAAATTTATATATATGCTTCCAAAATTACACTCAGATGAAAGCCAAAGTTAAAGAAAAATCATGCTGGGGAAGGGAAAAAAAATAGAGCAGATGACTATCCATATTTGAAATTGAGACAAAAATATGCAAGGCTATTCACTTTAACTTCACTACTTCCTGCTTAAACACCTTTCTCCCTTTCTCAAAAAAAAAAAATTCATCAAAATAATCCCTTTAAGAATTTTTTAAATTAACTAGCAACGTTCCTGCTATGTAGACCTAATTTTTCATGTGGTTATGTTAGGAAGACTAGCCCCATTCATTAGCTACATCTAAACCTGAAAGAGGAAATACTTTTCTTCCCTCAACCTTAAAAAAAAAGGGGGGGGGGAGTGGATGAAAGAATACTGTTGCCACGTCTCCCCTCCCTCCCCCACTCACGTAGTGGCTATTTCATCCCTCAAGAGTGCATTCCAAGGAAAAATCCAAGAGCCACAGCTCTCGGAGAAACAGTTAAGTGGAGGCTGGCAAGTCCCTTTAGCCTTTTTAGATCAGTTCCTAAAACAGGATCCAGTAGCTTCTTCGCCCAACACAGTGTACAATTCCAAGTCTCTGTTCTCTAAGTTACGCTTATTAAGCTGTTGGTGTCTAAAACACTGTATGTGTACTAAGTTGGGCACTTAAGAGAAAGTCTCACTCTAAGCTTACCAGCCTTCCCCAACCTTAAACATCCATCTGGACCGCCAAGAACTCAGCTTAAATTTTCATAGAACAGGGAAGGTTTGACTGAAATGGACTTTTAAACCCAATAAATGAAAGTCCGGGTGGGTGCTTAAAAAGCCTGCAAATGAGAAAAATGGGGGGTGGGGGCAAGGGAGAGAGCGAGACCAGGATTCACGCGCCCTCAAATGATTACTGGGGAGGGAAAGGGAAGGAAGAAGCCAGCCTTCCCACCAGCTAGCTGCGATAGCACTTTCCGGCTCCCGCAGCCTCAGCTGGGCGCCTCGGGCTACGTCTAGCAGCCAGACAGGACCGCGACAAGCAACAGACAGAAGTTCAGCCTTAACTTCGGAGCAGGTCCGGCTCCTGGAGTGTCCAAAGGAGTTAATAGTTTGGGAGAAAAACAGTATTTTTTCCCCAAACCCTTGGCGTGCCCGGGCTCTACTTCGAGCGTGCAAGCCTCCCCGGTCCTCCGCCACATGCGGGCCAGCTGCGGCCCCCACCCGGCCCCGCCCCGCGGCCCCGCCATCGCGCAGGGAGCACCGAGTACGGACGGAGTTCGGCCCGGGAAGGAACATTCAAGAAAGTCCTGGTCCTGGGGCGGGGACAGAGGCGGCTGCAACCCCGAGAAGCCCGAGGCAGGACGGGGGCGGCGGGGAGCGGCGAGAAGCGAGGCTCGGGGAGGGCGCAGGACCGACGCTCACGCAGAGGAGCCCGGGGGCGGCTGCAGTAAGGCAGATCCGCCACCCCAAGCCAGCCCCGCACAGCGCGAGGACCCCCCCCCCTCCGCCGCGGCCGGGCGCGCGACCCCGCCCTCCCTCGGGGCCCCATCCCGAACTGCAAGGTCAAAGGCGCACCTCACCTGGAGAGCAGGACGCGACGGCACGCGCGCTCCGGCCCGCTACACTCTGGTCGCCCTCAGCCCTCTGGCTGCGCGACTAGGCAGCAGAGGGAGCCAGCTGGCCCTTTTATAACCTCTAGGCCCCGCCAAGGAGGAGGCGGCCGCGGCCCTCGCTACGTGAGCCTGGTCACACCAGCGGCCTCGCCACTGCGCAGTCGCCCGAGCGCCGCCCACCCCCGGGCCTCCCGGGCCAGTGGAGTTCCAGGCCCGAGAGGAGCGGTCCGAGCTGGCACGGAGGACGTACTGCGCCTGTGCAGGGCTCGCGCCACGCCGTCGTTACTATGGTTACCACGGGGTTTCCCCAGCTTCTGTAGGATGTTAGCGCCTTGATTTCAGGGTCAAGCGTAGGTCTAAGAGCGTGGAAACCAACAGCAAAGACGGTTGTTGGAAATTAAAGAGGATTTAGAGGAGAATGGAAAACTAAACGGAATCGTGGCGTGGGCACTAACACGGGGCGTCCCGCGTTGCAGTCTCGACTTCCTTAGCTGGAAAAGCTTTTTGCATGAGCTCTTTGTTGCACCACTACAGACATTTTGTAAGGCTATCACTCCATCTCCCACCTTTATGCTTTGGTGGATGGTAGACTGAGAGCTCCAGCATCACCTGGATTCAAATTCTCACCCGGTCTTGAATAAGGTTGAACGTTGACCACTCGGTATCTTGGGTTCCTCCTCTGCAAAGTAGGAACTTCAGTATTATCTGTCTCCTAGGATTATTGCGAGAATGACATAAGATAATGAATGTAAAACCCTTCATGCATAACTAGCACTCAGGGAGAACTCGGTAACTGTTATGAAATAGGGGGTGGCGGGCTGCCTGTTGTTGAGTGCTTGTCAAGCCCGGAAGCCTCAGCTTTTATTACTGACACCAAAAACAAAAATACTGTTAGGCACCCAGTGTTGTATTGGTCTTAGTTTTAAGTTTTAGGTTTAGTTTTTGGTTTTAGTTTTAAGAAAGCCTTACCACCAGGGAGCAGACAATGAAAGAGATAACTTCCGCCTTATCAGTGAAAGAATAACTTCCTACAACTCGTTATTCATTAAAAATTGTTAAGTTTTGCATAAATGCTATGTATCACAATGATTAACATTTGACACTTATCTAGGAGTTGGGGTTGATTACGTAGATCGGGAATAAAGAGATCTTCAGGCAACCAGACAGTAGTGATTAGCTACATTAGTGATTCTCAAAGTGTAGTTAGGGGGTCAACAAAGCAAAATTTCTTTTTATATTAAGACTTTATTTGTCTGGACTTGGTGGTGCACGCCTTTAATACCAACACTCGGGAGGTAGGTAGCAAGTGCTACATAGGGAGACCCTACCCCAAAAAACCAGAAAATGGGGCTGGAGAGATGGCTCAGCGTTAAGACCACTGACTGCTCTTGCAGAGGTCCGGGATGCAATTCCCAGCACCCACATGGTGGCTACGAACCAGCCTTAACTCCAGTTCCAGGGGAATCCAAAGCCCTCTTCTGACCTCCGAAGCACTGCACAACACGGGTGCACTCACATACATGCAGGCAATACACTCGTACACATAAAAATAATAAATTTTTTTTGGTCTTTTTGAGACAGGGTCTCCCTGTAGCCCCAGGTGTCCTGGAACTCATCATGTGGACCAGGCTGGCTTTGAACTCACAGAGCTCCGCCTGCCTCTGCCTCCCGAGTGCTGGGATTAAAGGTGTGTGCCACCTCACCCGGCGATAAAATATTTTTTAAAAACCTAGAAAAATAAGAAAGATTTTCTTTGCCTCAATTGACAGCACAGTGGAATTTTACAGAAACTACTGCTCCTTTTGTAATGGACTAAGTGCAGAACATGTATGAACCAGACCAGACTTGAGATTTACAAAAATGTAAAATAATATCACAGTTCTAAATTCTTTTGAAAATGTTTTCAGTAACAATGTTATTAACTTATTTAATTGTTTTGAAATGAATTATTTAAAAAGTTTTACATGTTTTGACTCCTACTACAGTAAATGCTGGTAGATATCAGCCACATAAAAGCTTCTTTAATCAATATTTTTTGGGAGTGGAGAACCAAAGAATGGTTCCAGACCGCGGGGCCAGTTTACTGCTAAGTCAATGAAGTTTCTTTCATCTTCAGGACTTCACATTATCAGTACCCTTCTCCAAGTCCCTGGGAGGAGTCTTAGCTGTATGTTCACATGACCATCTACTTCTGTGATCTTTTGTAAAAGAAGGCTATTTTTTACCATATTCCTTTTCCTCAGTGACTGACTTCCCCTTTGCCATGCTTCCTTTTCTCTAAAGGTGTTAGAGTAGCTGGCAGACATTTAAAATCTTTTGTTAAAATTGAATTAGGGATCCATTTGGTTTGAATTTAGGAGGGTATATTTTTGTAGACCAGTCTCTTCCACATGTGGTTAAGATATTTCCAGCTGTCCCAAGCTTCCAAGAATCCTGTCACCACCCATTGTGTGACCCACCCGGGATTATAAAAGGTACAGAACCAGACCTCTTGATTTTTTTATTCTTTGGGGCTTTTTTTTTTTTTTTTTTTTTTTGGCCTTTTTTCAAGACAGGGTCTCCCTGTAGCCCCAGCTGAACTAGAATTCACTATGTAGACCAGGCCCACCTGCCTCTGCCTCCCAAGTGCTGGGATTAAGTGCATGCACCACCATACCTGGCAGAGCCAGACCTCTTAAAGTGATTAGAATCTAGACTTCATTCTAGAGTGAAAATGTGCGTGACCTGGGATGTGTAGCTCCTTAGTAGAGTGCTTGCCCAGCATGTGTGATACTTTTGGCTCAGCCCCAGCACTGCAAAAATAAAAAATAAAAATAGGAAGATAGTAGAGGAGAAGCAGGCTTGAAATGAAGAGAGCATGAGGCTGGTATTTTGGATATTTCTCCTAATTATTGTATGTTTAATATTTTATTTATTTGGGGTTATTTTGTGTGTGACTAATTTGCCTGCATTTGTTTAAATGCACGGTTGTGTGCAATGCCCTTGGAGGCTAGAAGAGGGCATTGAATCCCCTGGAACTTGAGTTAAAGACAGTTGGTTAGCTGCCATGTGGGTGCTGGGAACCAAACCTGGATCCTCTGTAGAAACAGCCAGTGCTCTTAACCACTGAGCCATCTCTCTAACCCGTTTAGTTTTTTGAGGCAGAGTCTCACACTATAACCTAGGATGACCTAGAGCTCACTATGTGCCTGGCCTCAGCTCTTATCACCTAGGGCTGGGATTATAGGCATTACCACCACTCCAGGCTTGATGTATGATTTTAACTAGTTTAAAAGGAAGTTCTTGGGGCTGGAGAGATGGCTCAGTGGTTAAGAACACTGGTGGTTCTCAAACCCGGGTTCGAATCCCAGCACCCACATGGCAGCTAACAACTGTAACTCCAGTTCCAGGGGATCTGACAGCCTTTTCTGTGCTCCGTGGGCATTGCATGACATGGGTGCACTTATCTACATGCAAGCAATACACGGACACACATAAAATAAAAATAATTAAAAAATTTTTAAAAAAAGAAGTTCTTTTCTCTTAGAATTTAAAAAGAACGCTACAGCAAACTAGAGTGCTTATCCATTTGAGGAACTCTGATGTGGTCCCATTTTTTTAAGTCATTATAGTAAACAACCTGTTGAAGATTTCTATAAATTAATGTCAATCCTAAAAATTTACCTGATGTTATCAGCACGTTGTAAGCATGAAAGAAACTTTCTAACCCATTTCCATCAGTAATGTGAAATTTTAACTAACTACACTCAAAGGAAAAAACTAAAATGCTTCTCACTGCAAAATAATTATTATCATATGTAGAAACAAAGAGAATCAGGGTTACAATAGTAAAGAAAGAAAAACAATACAAATATGTGCCAGTTAATTTTTTTGTCTTTTTTTTGAGACAGGGTCTCCCTGTAGCCCCAGCTGTCCTGGAACTCACTATGTAGACCAAGCTGCCCTTGAACTCACAGAGATCCGCCTGCCTCTGCCTCCTGAGTACTGGGATTAAAGGTGTGTGCCACCACACCCAGCACCAGTTAATTTTTAAACAATTATTTTGCTAGCTGTGCTAGCCCTCTCAGTAACCCTAGCATTTAAGAGGCTAAGGCCAGAGGGCCAAGAGTTTAAGGCCAGCCTGGGCTACATAGTGAGAATCTGTCCCAAATTATTTTGTTTTTTCAATTTTATGATGATGATTGTCTTAGTCCATTGAGTGTTGCTATAACAAAATACTTGAGACTAGGTATTTCATAAAGAAAAGAGGTTGATTTTGAATCACAGTTTTGAAATTAGTAAGTAAAAGATCAATAGCAACTCAAAGAAAAAGGAGAGGGGAGGCGAGAAGAATAGGGAGAAGAGATACTCTCAGCTCTTACACTGGGGTCTCAAACTAGCACATGAACTCTGGAGGAACAAAGTATTCCAATCCTTAGCTGTGCTGTTTGTCATTTTTTCGAGATTTGCCTTCTGGGCATTCAAAAAGAGACTTCATATTAAATCTACGTAAGATTACCCAATCTGATCATCCCTGTTTTGCTAGAATGAAAATGAAAGTTACCTGGAGGAGAAAAAAAATGACATGACTGTCTCTGAATGGTCAGACCTTAAGCAGACCTGCTCCAGCCTTCCTGTAAGCCTCCAAGAACTCTCTTCCTCTTGCATACAAAAGAAGTTGGATTTGTTCATCAATCAAATATTTCTTGAATAAAATGTTAAAGGTTACATATTCTTAGAAAAAGACTATTTTGTAGCTGTGGTGACAAGGAGAAGCGATTTTAAACTGAATAGATCAAGAGCAACTCAAGTTAGTAAACATACCACTAAATAAAAATTTAAAAACACAGTAACAGCTGGGCGTGGTGGCTCATGCCTTTAATCCCAGCACTCTGGAGGCAGAGGCAGGGGAATCCCTGTGAGTTCAAAGCCAGCCTGCTCTACATAGTGGGTTCCACGCCAGCTGGGGCTACAGGGAGACCCTGTCGCAAAAAAGAAAAACAACAACAAAAAAAAAAACAACAAAACAGTTACAAGCTTCCTACTTTTTAAAGTCAGTCAAATAAAAACAGTCTTACTCTATCAGGTCATCATCAATGACCACTCCACCACCTTAATTATGTTTCTAAGACTGATATCTA